GATAGTATTTAGTAGACAAACTAAAGTTATAATCTAGGCCTTGGCTACTTAAGAAAGATAACAAATCTCAAGGAGAAAATGACTTTGTTAACTAAGAAGTAATTGCTCTACACTGCTCATACCGATCATATAAGATCTATATGATCCTAGTTGGTTTCAGAATGCAGAGTTAGTCCAATGAGACAATATATTGAGAAACATAAGTACTATCCTGTCTTTTCAAATCACAATCTCAAGACCGACTTTTGCCTTGATGGAAACAAGAGAGAAGACTGTGCATTGGTTACAGTAAGGGAAAAAAACACATGAACCATCAGCTTAATATGCAGCTCTAGCTGCAAAGAAATAAACCCTAATTTTGTCCCTTCTTTATCAAACAACCCAACATTATCATCCCTGTCCAACCAGAAAAGGCACAATGTGGAAGGGATGTACCAGAGAAAATCCTTTCCCCAAACCCCAATAAGAATGAGAAAGTCTCCTCAGTCAAAAACAGGTAGAGTTAGCACACTGTGATGTGAAGACTGGAGGAGAGACAGCAAAGTATAAGAGAAAACATTTAGCTTAATTTAACAACATCAGGAACCAGAAAAAGAAAATGAGCACATCTGCTAACTCAGTAACATTCCTTCCATGGCATTACAGAATGATACTAGCAAGTCTATATTCCTCATGCTTAAAGTTCGTATTAACAAGTCTCTGCAAGCAGCACAACTGCTCAGAAAGTGCGGAGAGGCGGCAGAGCAGCATTTCAGTTGCTTCTAAGACTATATAGTCCAGCGACACAAAAACCCTAGAAAGAGTATTTGCTTTAGACAGCTGGAAAGAAGGTGTATCAGTCTGTAGGGTGTATTAAAATTAATTCACTAGTTAAATAATGCAAAAAGACATCTGACCATCTGATCAAGGATAAAAAAAAGGCCAAAGGTTTTAACCATCTGGAAGAAGGTTTTGGAATTTCTGACAGGGCAGCAAATATACTAAGGTATCCTTTCTTTGCTTTAATTTGAATTCTTACCAAAGAATGACCACAGGATTATTTCTATGTTGAGAAAACAGCTGAACCATTACAGACAACTGACTGCATCAGAAAAAATATTATTTTGAAATCTTAATCCTGCAACATAAAGAAGTTAGGGGAGAAAATAAAAGGGAAAGGAAAGGGTCAAGGGAAAAAGGAAGAGGGAAAGAAAGGAGAAAGCAAAACAGTTCCTTAAAATGAGTGGCCAAGTCTACCTTATACCCATTAGATTGGCTACTACAAAAATTAGAAATAAAGAAATAATTTTGAAAAAAACAAACCAAAACAAAAAAAACAGAAAATAACAAGTGTTGGCAAGCAAGAGGAAAAACGAAAAACTGGAATCCTTGTGCACTATTGGTAGGAATGCAAAATGGGACAAGGTCTATGGAAAAGAGTTTGGCAGTTCCTCAAAAAGTCAAAAATATATTTACTCTGTGATCTAGCAATTCCACTGCTGCATATATATACCTGAAAGAATTGAGAGGAGGACTTAAACAGATTTTTATACATCCATGTTCTTAGCAGCATTTTTCACAATAGCCAGAAGGTAGAAGCAATCCAGTGTCCACTGATTAACGAACACATAAACAAAATGTGGTATATACATACAATCGAGTATTATTCCCCCCTTTAAAAAAAGGAAATTCTGACACATGCTATTGTACAACATGACGAGCCCTGAGGACATTGTGCTAAGTGAAATAAGTCAGTCACAAAAGACAAATACTACATGAGTTCCACTTATATGTCATAGTCAAAATCATAGAAACAAACAGGAAATTGGTGGTTGCCAGGGGCTGAGGGAAGTAGGAAACAGGGAGTTATTGTTTAATGGCTAGAGAGTTTCTTTCTTTCTTTTTTTTTTTTTTTTTTTTTTTACATTTTTAAGGTTTATTTTTTATTTTAAGATGGGGTTTCACTATGTTGGCCAGGCTGGTCTTAAACTCCTGATCTCGTGATTCCTTTCTTTTCTTTTCTTTATTTGAGATGGAGTTTCACTCTTGTTGCCCAGGCTGGAGTGCAATGGCATGATCCCGGCTCACTGCAACCTCCGCTTTCTGGGTTCAAGCAATTCTCCTGCCTCAGCCTCCCAAGTAGCTGGGATTATGGGCGTGGGCCACCAGGCCAAGCTAATTTTGTGTTTTCCGTAGAGATGGGGTTTCGGTGAGGAAGGAGACCCAGGCATCTGGGATTCCCTCCCGTCTCTGTCATCCACCATGCATCTCAATAGAATAGACAGCAGGCCAGATGGCGCCTGCTGCAACTCCTTCCAGTAAGTGGCACTCTTTGTCTTAGGGAAACTCTCAGGAAGATGCTGTTTTTACTCAAAACAAGATCAAACCCGAAACCTTTTCACACGTGAGTCCTAAAACTGTAAACCAGAAAGAACTCTTTCATATGTGATTCCTGAAACTGTAAACCAGAACATTTTCACATGTGAGTCCTAAAACTGTAAACCGGAACCCTTTCATATGTGATTCCTGAAGCTGTAAACTGAAACCCTTTTCATATGTGACTTCTAAGACTGTAAACCCAAGATTCTTCCAAGTGTAATATCTAAAGTATAAGCCTATATAAAGGTGGAACCTTCCTTTGTTAGACGAGCTGGGCTTTGGACACATTATCGCTCAGGCTCCCGGGCCAAATAAACTTTTTCCTTCTTAATTCGGTGTTTGAGAGATGTTTCCTGCGGCCGCTCCTGCTACATCACCACGTTGGTCAGGGTGGTCTCGAATCCGCCTGCCTTGGCCTCCCAAAGTGTTGGGATTACAGGCATGAGCCACTGTGCCTGGCCTAAAGTTTTCATTTTTAAAAGATGAAATGAGTTTGGAGATGGATGGTGGTGACAGATACACAACATTATGAATGTATCTAATACCACTGAACTATATACTTCAAAATGGTGAAAATGTTAAGTTTGCTATGTGTATTTTACCATAATTTTTTAAAATAATAAAAAAGAGTAGTCTAGTTTGTCTATAATTCACACTAAAATATGTCCTGAACAAACACATGTATTTGTTCAAAGAAAATAGTTATTAAGCACCAACTATATCCCAGGTAGTACTATGCACACAGTCAGAAAAATAAGAATCTCATGAAACTCAAAATGGGACCAATTATCCTCATTAACTAATAACTAATAACCTACTATAGGTTTCCTACTATGAAGGAAAAACTACTGCAAAAGAAAAAAAAAGGATTAAGGATGTAGGCAATTTTTAAGTCCTCTGTTCCACTCACATTATAATTTTAATTAATCAAACTGTATTTTAAATGTGCCAGAGGAATTAAAAGCCCAACCACCCTCTAAAGTTCTCTGTTGTCTAACCTTATTTAAGAATAAAGATTATCTATACCCATCTGTACCCAGAGGAATTCTTTTTTTGGGGGGTGGAAGAACGAAGTCTCACTGTGTCACCCAGGTGGGAGGGAGTGCAGTGGCACGATCTCGGCTCACTGCAACCTCTGCCTCCCAGGTTCACCAAGTAGCTGGGATTACAGGTGCCTGCAACCACACCCGGCTAATTTTTGTATTTTTAGTAGAAACAGAGTTTCACTGTTTTGGCCAGGCTGCTCTCAAACTCCTGACCTCAGGTGATCCACCTATGTCAACCTCCCAAAGTGATGGGATTATAGGCGTGAGCCACTGTGCCCAGCCAATGGATTCTTTAGTAAGGCAAAATGATGGCTGGGAAGAATTAAAGCTCCAATGATTTTTTTTTTTTTTTTTTAATTTTGGGTTTCTTTTTTTTTTATAGATGGGATCTTGCTATGTCGCCCAGGCTAGACTAGAACTCCTGAGCTCAAGCAATCTTCCTGCCTCAGCCTGCTGAGTAGCTAGGCCTAAAGGCATACGCTACTGTGCCTGGTTCATCAATAATTTTTAAAGAATAACTGCTGGGCGCGGTGGCTCACCCCTGTAATCCTAGCACTTTGGGAGGCTGAGGCGGGTGGATCACCTGAGGTCACGAGTTCAAGACCAGCCTGACCAATATGGTGAAACCCCGTCTTAAAAAAAAAAAAAAAGAAGAATTTAGACAACTGAAACTTAACACCAATTTAAAATATTTTATTTAAATTAAGCATTAAACAGCTGTAAGCTACCTAAGATCTGCCCCCTTAATCTTTTCTTTGGCATCTCTCTTCCCTCTAACCACATCATAGATTAAATATACAAGTTCTTGCTACGATATTCAATATCACCTCTCAAGAAATGGCTGTAGATAAGCTACAAAAAACTGAAATTTAGACATTCTTACAATTATTACTCATTGTTACAAAGTACTCACCAATCTGCTATTTACTATGTTCTTAAGTCAAAGACTATTAACGTCCCCATAAAGTTACAAACTTCAACAATGCTCTACAGCTTCCTGTAGGACAGGACTCTCTGAGTCGGTGGCCTGTCCTGAGCTGGCATTACCACCTGAGCTCTGCCTCCTGTCAGATCAAAAGCAGCATTAGAGTCTCATAGGAGCGGGAACCCTATTCTTAACTCTGTGTGTGAGGGATCTAGACTGCACTCATTATGAGAATCTAACTAATGCCTGATGACCTGAAGTGGAACAATTTCATCCTGAAACCATTCCCTCACCAACCAAATTCCATGGAAAAATTGTCTTCCATGAAACTGGTCCCTGGTACTAAAAAGGTTAGGTATTGCTACAACAGAGTATCTTAAAGATGTTCCTAAACATATACAGTTCATCTGTATAGCTGCACCCCCAAGTCTAGTTCAATAGCAGTGCATTGCTACCCAAGAATATTTAAAGAGGTGTTTTGTTACAGTCTGAACCACAGCAGGAAAAAAATAAAAGAGAAACAATTAAAAAAAAAAAAAGAAAAGAAAACAGTATTTTAAATCACTATCAAGAGCTACTCACAAACATGAATCTAGACATACACAGTGATACATGCCTAAGAACTTAACTCTCTCTCTTACAAAACAAAAACCCAGTTCAGCAATACTTACAGTCAACATTGGAGTTGTCAACAGGCCCCACGCAAAGAATTCAAGGAAGATGACAATAGCAGCATGGTACACACTCGGTCGGCCAAAGCCTTGTAGCTAAAAAAGAAAGTTATTATGAAAATCAGCAATGAAAGATAAGAAATTCATTATTTTAAAATGGTATTAAAAAAATATGTAAAATAAATTTAGAGTCTATCTGTTATTTAAGATAAAACTTCATTCCGTGTTATCCCTGATGCCTTCACTTCCCCTAATAATGGAAGGTGCTAAGATTATACACTTTTGATCTGTCCCATCAATGCAAATCACTGGAGCTTTGGTCGAAAACCATCGCGTCTTCAAGAGACTGAGCTTCCAGAATCTGACTGCTCTGTCCCTTATGAATTATGTGTTCCTTAGACACTTAACCTCTCTAGGACTGAAGTTTCCTTACCTATACAATAAGAGAGAAGGGTTATGGGTGTCATATGCTCAAAAGCCTGAGGGACAGCTCAGATAATTCTAAGTCAGTATGGAATATCTTGAGATATCCCAATTCCAGAGATGTTTGGAAGCAGAGGATGAAAAGTGTACAATAATGTCTCTGCACGCTCTTATTTACCATCTTTCTCATAGATTACTGCAATGACCTGTTAACCCTGCCTTAACTCATTTTTCCCTGCCCCCTCCAAATCTGTGGTGACACTAGACTCAGTGAACTTTCTAAAACTACACACCTTATCCTATCACTCCTGTGGAAAACTGCAAAAACAAAGAGCTACTAATTCCTCGCATCCCTGTACACACACATTTTCACAATATGACTTTGCTTCCAATTCCATTTCTCCACATTCCTACATCAAAGCTGGCTTAACAACTTCCTCTAACCAGGTGAGGTGAAAACATGGACTTTTGAACCTAGATTGCCAAATATCTTCAAGACCACCACAAGGAGAAATCTCTTCTAGACACAGAAGTATGAGAGCATAAGAAATTCTCCTTATTAAGACCTCACAGACAAACCAGTTAACAGCCATGACCACCAACTACAATCAAGCCTGCAGGTGACAACAGAAGCATGAGACAAACCAAGAGAAATCAGTGAAGAATTCTTGCTGAGTTCCACTTAAACCACTAGCCCAAAGTATTATAATAAATGGTTGTTGCTTTAAGCCACTAAGTGTTAGGGTTGCTTCTTATTTAGCTTTTTTTTTTTTTTTTTAAGAGACCAAGTCTCACTTTGTTGCCTAGGCTGGAGTACAGTGGCGTGATCTCAGCTCAATGCAAAGTGCTGAGATTACAGGCATGAGCCCCTACACGTGGCCCACATTCTTTTTAATAGCTAACTACTCAGTATCTCATTGTATGCATGTGCCATAATTTTAGTCATTCCAATAATGATAAGAGTACGTGGGATTTTCACTTATTTAAAATTGCCGCAATTAACTTTTTAAATTTTGAAATAATATTAAACCTACAGAGAAGCTGCAAAAAACAAGAATTCCTACATAATCCTTTATCCTGCTTCCCCTAAAGTTAACATCTTCTATAACCATGACATAATTATCTAAACCAGGAAATTAGCATTGCTATAAAACTTTACATACCTTATTTGAAATTTGCCATTTTCCCATTATTTTTTTTTTCTGGTTCAGAATCTAATAAAAGATTTAACACTGTGTTTAGTTCTCACATTTCTTTAGGCTCTTCCAACCTAAGTCAGATCCCAAGACTTTTATTTTTTACTTTCATGATCCTGACACTTTTAAGGAAAATTAGTATATACGCTTCACCAGTAATTTTATAGAGTGTCCCTCAATTTGAATTCATACAGTATTATCTCATGACTGGACTGAGGTTATACATTTTGTTATTTTTTAAAAATATGTCACATCTCATAAAATTCACCACATTCAAGTGCACAAGTCAGTGGTTTTTAGAATATTCACAAGGTTATACAACCATTACCACTATCTAACTCCAAAACATGTTTATCACCCCCCAAAAGAAACCATATATCCATTAGGAGACATTCCTCATTTTCTTCTCCCATATTCCCCCCTCACAATCACTAATCTACTTTCTGTTTCTATGGATTTGCCTATTCTGGGATCATACATAAATAGAATTCATAAATGGAATCACACAACATGTGGCCTTTTGTGTCTAGCTTCTTCCAATCAGCATTATTTTCAAGGTTCATCCATGTTGTACCATGTATCAGTATTTCATTCATTTTTATAGCTAAATAATATTCCACTGCACCAGTACACTACATTTTGTTTATCCATTCATCAGCTCACAGACACTCAGATTGTTTCCACCATCTTTGACCATTATGAATAATGCTGCCATAAACATTGGTGTACAAGTTTTTATATTGTTTCCATCTTTGACCATTATGAATAATGCTGCCATAAACATTGATGTACAAGTTTTTATATAAACATGTTTCCAATTCCCTTAGCTATGCACATAAGGGTGAAAATGCTGGGACTATTAATATCCTTTTATTAGCATTCTAGGATAAATTTCTAGAAGTGAAGTTTCAGGGCCAAATAATATACACATTTTAATTCAGAATCCAATTATAAAAGTTTCACTAATTATGAGTCAAAAAAATACTTCATCTTATGTCACCTAATCAACTAATATCTCTAACATATAAACAGCTTCTAAAAATGTTAGGAAAACTAACAGCCCAATAAAAAGATGGGCAAGAAATAGGAACCAGTTCACTGAAGAAATCAAATGTCCCTTCAGTAGCCTCACTTGTAGTAAGAAAAATACAAAACTAAACTAAATTCAAATACAATTTCTCAGTATCAGACATTAAAAATTCAAACATTTGACAATAAGCTTCTGTCAATGCAACTGAAAAGAAACACTTCAACACCATAAATAGGAACAAAAAATGGTGTACCACTATGGAAGACAATGCAGCAACATCTATACAAATTACATACTTGTGAAGCAACAATCCTACTTTAGAGATTTGTCCCAAAGACAAAATGGCAAAACTATGAGGTGCCATATGCGCAAAGCTAAAGTACCAGCAAAAATTAACTCTGGGCTGGGGGCAGTGACTCGTGCCTGTAATCACAGCACTTTGGGAGGCTGAAGCAGGCGGAACACTTGAGGTCAGGAGTTCATGACAAGCCTAGGCGTCATGGTGAAACCCTGTCTCTACTAAAAATACAAAAATTAGCTGGGTGTGGTGGCAGGTACCTGTAATCCAGCTGCTAGGGAGGCTGAGTCTGGAGAATCCCTTGAACCCAGGAGGCAGAGACTGCAGTAAGCTGAGATTGCACCACTGCACTCCAGCCTGAGCGACAGAGCAAGACTCTGTCTCAAAAAAAAAAAAAAAAAAAAAGAGAGAGAGATCCAAGATGGCTGATCACTAGCAGCTCGGGATTGTAGCTCCCAATGAAAGCGCAGAGAACGAGAGGATGCCACACTTTCAGATGACTTTTTGTTGCTCACGCACCAGGAGATTCCCAGTGGAGGAGCCCCACGGGTTGCCAGTGAGAGACTCTTGTGGCCGGCGAGGCGGTTTTGCCGCTGCCTTGGTGCAGCGGTTCTTGGTGCAGTCAGAAAAGCACTATCAATCTTAACGCCGCTGTTTTGGCCGGCGCAGTGGGTTGTTCAGATTTTAGCGCTGGGAATCAACAAGTTGGACATCCACTCAGAAACCCAATTATAAAGACGGTAATTACAAAGACCACAGATGGATAAATCTATAAAGAAGGGAAGAAAACAGCCTAAAAAGGCTGAGAATACCCAAAATCAGAATGCCTCTCCCTCTACAGGGGATCACAGTTCCTCATCAGCAACTGAACAAGGCCTGATGGAGAAAGACTGTTCCATTAACAGAAGCCGGCTTCAAAAAGTGGATAAGAAACTTCTGTGAATTAAAAGAACTTGTTCTAACCCAAAGCAAAGAACTAAGAACTTTGAAAAAAGGTTTGACGACATGTTAACAAGAATACACAATTTAGAGAGGAATATAAATGAATTAATGGAGCTGAAAAACACAACACGAGAACTTCGCGAAGTATGCACAAGTTTTAACAGCCGAATCGATCAAGCAGAAGAAAAGATATCAGAAGTCGAAGACCAACTTAATGAAACAAAACGAGAAGACAAGATTAGAGAAAAAAGGATAAAAAGGAACGAGCAAAGTCTCCAAGAAATATGGGACTATGTGAAAAGACCTAATCTACGCTTGATAGGTGTACCTGAATGTGACCAAGAGAATCAATCCAAGCTGGAAAATATGCTTCAGGATATTATTCAGGAAAACTTTCCCAACCTAGCAAGGCAGGACAATATTCAACTCCAGGTAATACAGAGAACACCACAAAGATATTCCTCAAGAAGACCAACCTCAAGGCACATAATCGCCAGATTCACCAGGGTTGAAATGAAGGAGAAAATACTGAGGGCAGCCAGAGAGAAAGGTCAGGTTACCCATAAAGGGAAGCCTATCAGACTCACAGCAGATCTCTCAGCAGAAACCCTACAAGACAGAAGAGAGTGGGGGCCAATATGCAACATCCTTAAAGAAAAGAACTTTCAACCCAGAATTTTACATCCAGCCAAACTAAGCTTCATAAGCAAAGGAAAAATAAAATCTTTTGTGAACAAGCAAGCACTCAGAGATTTCATCACCACCAGGCCTGCTTTACAAGAGCTTCTGAAAGAACCACTACACATAGAAAGGAACAACCAGTATCAGCCTTTCTAAAAAATATCAAAAAGTAAAGAGCATCAACGTAATCAAGAATTTACATCAAGCAACAGGCAAAATAGCCAGCTAACATTAAATGGCAGTATTAAACTCACATATATTATTATTAATTCTAAATTTAAATCGACTAAATCCCCCAATCCAAAGACACAGACAGGCAAAAAAAAAAAAGCCAAAACCCATCGGTATGCTACATTCAGACCCATCTCACATGCAAGGATACACAAAGACTCAAAACAAAGGGATGGAGAAAGATTTACCAACCAAATGGAGAGCAAAAATAAATAAATAAATAAAAAGCAGGAGTTGCTTTAAAGCAACAAAGATCAAAAGAAGCAAAGAAGGATATTACGTAATGATAAAAGGA